TGGCAAAGATATCAGAAAATATCAGAAGAGATCAAGTAGACAAATGGGGAAAAGGAAAAGAGAATAATAAGAAATCTAGACAGGGAAAAAGAAGAAACAAAAAGAAGAGACCCTAAGTGCGAAACCAAACAACAGTACCCACTCTGGAAAGGGGGAAGGGGTGCATCCGGATCGCGGGAGGGGAACGAGGTTCTCACTGCGAGTTTCTCCTACAATCACTCTGAACACTCATCAGTCATTCATAATCATACTTACAAGTTTCCGGCCTCAACTCTAATTGTAGAATGATTAAAAAGGATTTGAGTTATTGGACACTGTTATCAAGATGGTTTTTTGATGAGAAATCGGGGAAGCAATTGTCTCGGAAGCAAATACCTTCAGTTCTTCAATCTTCAATTCTTCAATTCGGCGGTGAGAAAATCCGATGCCTTTGTTCCCACAAAAAAAAGGAGAATTTGAAGGAAATTGAGAAAAGAAAAGAAAAGAAAGGAAAAAGAAGAAGATGTCAGATGATACCATTTAGAAAGATTTCCTTAAAAACAAATCTGACGTCTGTCTCGGGTAAAATCAAATCCAGCAGTCTTCAATCAAATCCAGCAGTCTAGCTTCAAAGTCGGATCCAATTCTGTACTCCAAATCAATTAAATCGAAATAAAAATTGATTACAAAAAGTAGTTTTTAACCTAACATCATTCATTTTTGAAATACTCCAAAAATTGATTTGCCTTTAAAATTATGTCCAGCATACATCTGGTGCAGTCAAATAAGCTATAAAAAACTATTTTTGGCCTTTATTAGTACTAAACTCTATGCAGCTCTTAATGACAAGTGTTTAACTCATTTCATCACGCAAAAGCAACCACAAATCAGTAAAGTACCTAAAAATAACGTGAAACAACACAAAAAGAAAACAGAGTGAGGAGAATTTGTTGTGATTAGAGATAAATTGAAGAAAGAAAAAGGAGAAAAGTTCAAGTCGGAGAAGTCGATTCATTAAAAGGGAAAAGAAAGAAAAGGAAGGAAAAAGGAAAGCGAATAGAAAGGAGATGATATTTACTTTGAGATCACGTTGCACTTTTATGCCTCCCATTTCTCTGGCAGAAGAAGAGCCCCACCACCCACTCATACAAATTGATATTGAAGAGACCCACAATTGATAAAGTGCAGAAGAATCGGTGCCGATTATTTGATAATCATAATAATCCGCGATTACAATCGCGAAGCTGATCATTTTACAAATCTTATAAGACCGGTTAGGCGATGGGCAACAGTGAATGGCAACAGGCAACAGGCAACAATGAATGAGAAAGTGAGGCTTTAAGAGGTTAGAAAGTCTACATTTAAGAGGTTAGAAAGTCTACAAGAGAAAGTATCGGGAAGCTGATCATTTTACAAATCTTATAAAACCGGTTAGGTGATGGGCAACAGTGAATGGCAACAGGCAACAGGCAACAATGAATGAGAAAGTGAGGCTTTAAGAGATTAGAAAGTCTATATAGGGTACATGAGTATTTTTAACAAAAAGCACAAGGATAAAGTGGTCTATTCCAAAACAGAAATCGTTTACATCATTGGTGATTTATAGTGGTTCATAAATTTTCGGTGTACCTAGTGAACGGATTGGTATGTAGAGACGGTGAGGTGTGTCTATTTGAGAGAACGGGGAGGGGGGATCGGAAGACCAAAGGAGGTTCTAGGGGAAAGTCGATGAGAAGGGGAAGGGGTACATTTGCATAGAGTACACAACAGTGGAAAAGACTGGTGGAAGAGTTTCAAGCTGAGTCCCTTTTCAAAGCTTCTGATGAAGGAAGGGAGGAATGGGTGAGTGTGCACATACCGTTCGCGTATGATACTTTGCTTTGGTAGGGGGGGAAAGGCTGTCCCTTTGGATCTAAAAGCAGGATTCAAGAGAGTTCAGGGTGCAGCTTTAGCCATTAGATACGTCATTATTTACTTGATCATTCTTCAAATGTAACTGTAAACGAGTTCTCAAGCGCTTAAAAGATGTTTGTCTTGAGTTTATATTTGATCAAACCCATCTTCTCCTCTATTTTCTGATCGTTTTCTGTCATTAAACCAATTTTTTTGATATAAAAACTCTAAAACATTAAACAAATCAATAAAAAGCAAAAAAAAAGAATAAAAGAATAAAACGATCGGTTCTATTTGGTCTATTTGGACAGCTGAACATTTTTGAATATCCGTTTCGAAAGATTTCAGGGAAAACTTGCACAGAAAAGGGATTCGGATATTTATCGGAATTCGGAATTTAAATGGGAACATCAAAAATGAATATGAAATTCGTTTTAACACGTTGACGATATTGTCACCTGATGCTGTCTGACACATATTCGTTCGCCTGGGACATTGTCACCTGATGTCAGGTGACATTTTTGTCGAAAAAAAACAACGTTGTCCCATGCGATTGTTTGTGCAAAAACGGCATTGTCGTCAACGTTTTAAATATCAAAATGCGAACGGATAATTAGATATACTTGTGCTTTGACATTATTCAATCATAGAATTGATTGACCAAGTCTGTGACTGACCAAATCTGATTGATTTATCAACTTGAATACATGCCGGCTCTTCAACGAGCCTTCCACCGTATCTCAATTTGCTTACTTGAATATCCAATTATCTTTGTTCAAAGTCTAAAAAGTACTGAAAGTTTTCTTTATTCAGAAGTGAATTCTTTTTTTTTCTTTTACTCCGTTGGGGATATCATTGCTTTCATTTCGGATCGGGTTTCTTCGGCTTTTTTTTGTTCAGATGGCGGTGGGAATTTCAAATTGAGTTGAAAAAATGAATGGAGAGAAAAAGAAAAGAGAATCGATATTCGATAAATGATAAAAATGAGAAGGCAATTGTTTTAAATCTCTAATCTCTAATCTCTAATCTCTAATCTCTCGTACCTGATTCTACAAGAAATCTGGCTTCTAAAATCGTATTGTGCATCGGTATTCAACTTGGGCACTATTTGAATTCATAAACTATTTCAATACAGTACATTTGAATATCTCAATCTCAATTACAATTCATAAAGACTTTGAAAGTTAAAAGAAAGCTAGACTGCTGCAAATCTGGAGCTAGACTGCTGTAAATAGAGAGCTAGACTGCTGTAAAGCTGGAGTCAGTTGTTGAAATGAAAAAGCTCGAAGAAGGGGAGAAAAAAATTAGCATATTGTCATAGAAAAGAGTGAAGACAAGGGGAGATGCGGAAGTTCTTGAAGAAGAGAGATCGGTGAAGAAGAGCGGTGAAGAAGATCGTAAAGAAGAGAGATGCACTCACTCGTTCGCACCCCATCCCTTCCCCCTCCGCATTCCCATCGGAGACTGTTTGTCCCAGCTAATAACACTCAATATTTGCACTTTCGACACCAACAGAAGCCTCCTTCCGTTCTCTTTTCCACTTCTTGAAGATATGCTAATTTTCTCAGCAAAAAATTCGGCTCTTCCTCGAGAAAAATAGGGCCAAGTGGCCAGGAAGTTGGTTAGATTTTGCAAAATTGCTTACCTTTCCGACATATGTTATTTTTGAGCTTACTTTTCATTGTTTGATTTCTTCACCGACCTATGGACAAGTCTGGGATGAATCCAAAAATTCCCGGCACCACCAACGCACCGTTCGCGGCACTTGGGATCCAAAATCGCTCCGCGGAGTAAACTCGCGAGCACTGAACCGGAATTGACCGTTCAGGGACTAGCTTGTGGGATTGGCTACCTGCCTCACTTGTAATGACACAACCCAAAACTCAATCAACTTTCCCGGGCTATATGGGAAGGATGTTGGGTAGATCGCGAGCGATTACCGCACAGAGAACACTCAGCCAGCCATTTTACCAGAGATTATCTCCCGCTCTGTCCTTGCCATTCATCAGAAATTTAAAGCTAAAAACTTGCACCTGGGAATTTTCGGGGTCGGGGAAGCGATTGGCGGTGTTTGTTTTACTGGATCTTTTAGGCAGAGTGCTAATTCCTGGCACAAAATCCCGGAAAACTATCAGTTCTCTACTTGTGTGTCTTTTTGTTTAATTCTTTTATTTTGATTTTGATTTGAACTTTTTATTATTTTTTATTTTCTCATTGTACTTTTTACTTACTTTACTTTTTATTCAAAACCTTTATTATCTCTTTTATTTTGTGTTTTTGAAATGCATATCGGAAGAGAGAGAAAAAAATGGAAAAAAGGGAACACGTAAAAAAAAATAGAGAAAAAGAAATGCCCGAAATGAAACGTTAAAAGTCGAAAATGTTCAAAAAAAACAAACAAAGAATTATGATGGCAAGGCAGAAAAGAAATCGGAAAAAGATAAAAAGGATAAAAAAGATAAAAAGATAAAATAGAATACTAGCCGAGACTCGATCCACATAAAAAAAAAACAAACATTTAAATGCTAATTTGAATATCAATTTGAATATCAATTTGAATATCAAATATTGCTAGAGGAAATAATGGATAAGGCACAATGTTGGGGGGAAAGAGACAAGACATGGAAAAGGGAAATCTCACAAAATTCGCGTGAAAGGACAAAAAGGCCTAAGCCTAAGCCATCTGGTGCATTGAATTCTCAAATTTTAATTCATTCTCAACATCTTCAGGTGCAAACTCAATGCACTAGATGCTTTGTGTTTAGGCAAATATCTCATTCAAAATAAAATGCTCACTGGGTCTAAATTGGGGGCTTATTCATTGCAAAAAGGAAACACACACACACACACACAAATCAAAGAACGACTTTTGCTATGTCGAGATCTTACGAGAATTCAAATTAGTTTTAATCATCAAAAGTTATTCTCATTTTCTTTTTTGGGAGAAATCTCAATTGTTAAGATAATCTGTTAATAAAAGATAAAAGACTAGAGAAACAAGAAAAGTGCTAAAAAAAATTCCGAGCAAAAATACCATGAGAAAACCCAGAAATTCGAGGAAATTAGAGATTTGGCTTGGTTGAAGACGAGATTTTCAATCAATCACCACTGGAATCGCTCATCGCTCACGCGTTCTCTAACTCAATTTTGATGGTTAGTTTTTTAAAGATCATAGAGTTCAGTTATCTATTCTTACTATTGGTAAGTACTTCGTTTTTTTTTCAAAATTCCTTTCTGATCTCACCTTAAATGTGGCCGGTGTTCTCAATGGGGCCGTCGGCGTCCTCAGTTCATCACCGAATCGCGCCGAACTCGACAATGTCGAACCACCCATAGAGAAGATTGCCGGTGAAAGGAGAGATGATGTGACTGCCGTCGAGAGAGAGGTTGTTGTGATGGGTGGAGGGAATTGGAACACCTGAAAAGGGTCGATGAAATCATCTTGACTCATTGATCTACCTGCTGTGCTCTTGCGGTATTCAATGGACTTGGCATCATGTAAGATGGAGTGCCGAATTGAGCCAATGATGGAGATGATGGAAGGAGGGAGGCGGATAGAGCCTGAATTTCATTCGTTTACTTGAAAAGGAAAGGCTTTGAAGAAAATTGTAATATTTATTGACGCTTAACACTTACCGTGTAGATTGAGGGAATGAGGAAGGGCGAGAGTTGCATCAGAAATGGTGACATTTGTTGAAGGAAATTCATTTGTCCCGTTGCGGCGAGGGGATTTGGTTGAGTGAGTGGTTGGGTGGTTGTGGGAGGAAGAGTCGAAGAGATTGGTGGAATCAGTGGATCCGAGGAGAGAGCCGACAGATTCAAGGGATCCGGACGACGCTTCTGACCCTGCAATTGCTAAGATAAAGAGAAAATCGTGGGAAATACCTGTGATGAGTCGGATCTTTGGACTGGAGCTGGGGCCGGGGATTTCCGCTTTCGCGAGACTGGCTAAAACTTTTGTATCATAGGCGAATGTGTTTCCTGTGACTACAAGTAAATACTTTGGATACAGTAATATTATTGTTCAAGTTCTCTTTATGATTTCCCTCACCGATTGCTCATTATTCGATCCAAGCGCCGACGGGATCGAGCAAAACGCAGTGATCGTATTTGATGATGAAGCGGGTCTTGATTCATCTTCAGAAGCCATTTGTGATGAAATTGGATGTGACAATGGCTGCAACGAGAGGAGTTGATGGGGAACAGAAGCCGGTCGAGATGATGCATTGCACATCGTTTGACTGCTCTCACAACCGGATGAAACGCCCGATGAACTGCCGACACTGCTCGGACTGCAATGGCTAAATTTATTGGGATCTTCATTTAAAATCCAAGATCAAACCTCTCAACCGGTGATGGAGTCGAATTGGTGACAGTTGTTGCGATTGGTGGCGGCATTGATAGAGATGGGGGTTCTAATCGAGGTGGATGACCGATTGAAGTGAATGTTGATGGAAGAGTTGGAGGAGCTGGCAACAATGGGGCTCCCATCTCGATCTTCATCAGTTTTCTCGGTGGACCCTGGAAAGTAAAAAGGTATTAGTATGTAAAAAGATTGTTTTTATCAATGCCTACCAATGATTGAATGCTTGAGGCTCGTGAAAGAGACTCCGGCGGAGATGATGAAGTGGGCGGGGGAACGTCCGTCGTGGTCACAAAACGGTACACGAATTTTTGACCCGTAACCTAACAAATTCTTTCTTAAATGTTTATAATTAAGCAAAAAAAACCTTTTTGATAATATTCTTATCATAATAATATCTCAATGCTCTTGAGAGTTTATCGTAATTCATATTCGGTTTTGATTTCCGTAGACCCCAGAGACGAGCCACTGCTTCGGCATCGATCAGCTGAAAATTTTGAGTAAATAATTGAAAAACCTTTTATAATAGTTTATGAAAGATTGTTTTTACGACAACCTACCGTAAATACTGTAATTAGTACCCCACCCCCCTCGTACAGTCGCGTAGTCGCAAAAGTTTTTTAGTATTTCATTTTTTTCAAAGCACCCGTACTTTCAAAAAATGCGTCTTTGGTATCAAAAAAATAGCCCTGAATTTCAGGGCTATTTTTCGATACCTAAGCGCGCATTGTAGCATAAACCAGTGTCGAGAAAAATTGGTTCAAAGCTAGACTACGCAACACTCCGCACCGTCATTATGGGGATGGGGTACTATTACAGTATTTACGGTAAGCTTTTTCTTATACCTTAAATTCGCCATCATTCGCCGTCCATTCGATGAGATCTTTTCGTTCTCCCGAGGTGAGTAACTCCAACAGAAATTGCCACAAAGTGATGTTTGAATCACTGCCTGAAAGGAAATCAATAAAACAAAGTTGATATGGATTTATAAGCTCGTATTTTTCATTATATTTCACGCACCAGCAGATCCGGATGAAGAGGGATGAGCACCGGAGATGAGTGATTGGATCACATTCTGAAAGGGCGATTTGTTCAAAAAAGTTCGAAATTTTCCTTAAAAGTTAAATAGTTCTCAAGATTTGAAATCCATTTTTTTAAAATTCTTTTTTAAAAATCAAATTCTTTAAAGCTTAAACACACCTCCGGTTTCTCTTCTTTTACATTCAACGGATCAAATGTGGAATGTTGTTGTGAATGGACGGAGAGATGGGGACGAAAATCGAGATGATTCATCAATGGAGGAAGGAATGATGGAAGGACCGTCGTCGTTGATGGATTCAATGTACCTGACGAGGTACACAATGGAGAACCTGCAAAATGGAAGGGTTACCATCGGGATTGTTCATTGTTCATTGTTCATTCAATTATCTAGATCTTTAGGTAAAACTTTTTAAAAGAAGATTTCACAAGCTTTCTTCAATCAATTTTATCGGGTTTTTGGGGGTGGGTGATTCAGCGGGACTTGCCAAGATACAGTCAGAAGTTTCGGATTATAAGAAAAAAAGGGGAGGATTGGTAGAGTTTTCAAGTTTTAGTTGAAAAGCTTTGGTAAGATTGGTAGGATTTAGAGATTTAGAGGTTCAGATTGATAACATTTAGATTCAGTTTAGATCAATAGTAAGAATTTAGAGGGATTTCACGATTTCAAAACACGAAATTTTTTCTACTAGCTTCAAATTCTTGTTCATAGATCAATACAGGAGAATCAGAAACCGGAAATGCCAGGTCTAACCCTCTAAAAAAGCTTTTTTTGAAACCATAAAGAGACACGGGGTGGACATCATTTTTTGAAGAGGGGAAGGGTCGAAGACCTGAAAAAAAAAGGGGAGAAGAAATGCGTGAATGGAGATAAGAGGAACAGCTCTACAATATTGGTTGTGGAATTCGAAGGGGGTGGAGTCACTTCCTGTTACGTATCATAAAGAATCGGCTTCTTCAATATAGTAACTATTTTGAGAGTAAACAAATGGAACACACAGTTCGTCACAGTGAACTGTAGACTTGGCAACAAAAAGTTGCCACTGCCAACAAGTTAAGAAGACAAGAGCTTTTGAAAGCCACAAAGGTATTGTATTGTGGCTGGGCAAGGTAAGAGTGAATTCAAATATAAAAGAAACACCTCAAAGCAAAGCAACAGAAGTTGCTGAACTTTGAAAAAGCTTCAACCTCAAGATCAATAAATATAATTGAAGAAAATGAGTGATGAATAAGCATGAAGAAGATGAAACTTTATAAGGAGTGAAAAGGGGTGAAAAGGATGGGGTGAAACGCGGTGACAAACACACGTAACCCCCACAATTCACTTTACTTTTTCTCATTTTCATTCAACCGTTCTTTGCCTTTTTTTCCCCTTCTTTTGCACAGTTCTAAGCCCTTATCAGATCAATAGCTGGCGATCAATTTTCTCTCAAACGAAAATCGTCAATGGAAATGTATTTGAAAAGAAAAAGAGAAACTTTCTTTGCTTTTTTTCATTTTCTTTTTCATCGTGATCAGGCTCGGCAAAAAAAGAGACGAAACAGGTAATGAGTGGGGAGAAGAAAAGAAAAGAAAAGAAAAGGGATTCATGCATGCATTGAAAAGACAAAAGTCATTGTGAAATCATTGCTTGCTCAAATATTACTTTGTGATTACACACTAATAAACTTTGCAGAGCTCTGTTCGTAAGAAAATTTGCGTGTTGCCATTTCAGTAACAGTGATATGGCGTAGAATTTCACAAGGAAATCTGATTTCAACAGAGAAAGGTTTTGAAAGTTGATTGATTGATTGATTGATTGATTATTATTATTATTATTAGCATCCAACTTGCGTTAAAATTTATATGTAATAGGTTGAGATTGAGAATCTTTTAAAGATTTAGAATATGATCAAAGCAAAGATTGAGAATATGATCAAGCAAAGATTCGAATATGATCAAGCAAAGATTTCGAATCTTATGATCTAAAGAATTTAATCTTATGATCTAAAGCTCATATTACTCTGCTTTCACAAATCATAAATTCCAAAGTCATAACAGTCAACCTTTTTTCAATAAAAGTCTCAATAAAACTCTTCCAAAAATGTTTAAACAGTTAAAAATCCAAAGCATTAAAGCTTTATGGGGAGAAAGGATAAAGAAATGATAAATGATCAGTGGGATAGCTGGTTACAGTACGTCAACGGTGATGACAAGGGACAGGCAAATCGACGATGGCTATGAAATGAGAAATGTTTCGGAGAAACACTAAAGGAAAAAAACGATATTGAAACATTCCAATTAGATAGGCCTATAAAGGTACGGTAATTGCTGGTTCACAGGTACCGTAGAACTGCCACCTATGCGCACAACCCTGCAAAATCGGCTACAGAAATCGGTTTTAAACGACTGACACCAAAAAATGCACTTCAGAAACAGTAATTTAAAAAAATAGAATAGAAAGGGAATAGAAGGGGATAGAAGGGGATAGAAGGGGATAGAAGGGAATTGAAGGGAATGAAAATGGAATAGAAACGGTCATCGATGGGAATAAATGAGGGAAATGAAAGAAACACGCAAAGGTTGGGAACAAAAACGAACACGAAATTGTGATAAAATAATGCGAAATTGAATTGAAGGTTGGAGTTTGAGGTGGTGGAGACGAAGTGGAATGTTCAAGAAACAAAATGGATTTGTTTTGAGTTTTTCTGCATGGAGAACAAAGGAATCAAAGAGTTTTGGTTTATGAAATCGATCGAGTTTACAGAAGTAACAATTTAACGATCATCACTGGTATTGACAATAAGATTTGTTTGGATTCCTAGATTGATTAATCTATAATATAATACCATCAATAATAATATAATACTTTAGATAAGATATGCAAATTTCATGAAGTATAGTTAATGGTATTGAAACCGAGGTATCATTAGATTTCTAAAGGCTCAGGGCTTAGGCTCAGGCTTAGGCTCAGGCTCAGGCTCAGGGCTATTAGCCAGGGATTAGTGAGCCAGGTACTACTGTATCCTATGTACTAGAATATGTGCTGTACTATAAGAGAACCCTACATGCACAACATAGACTTTGCTATACTCCTAGCTACCAAAGAATCTTACCATAATACGTCGGCCACCACATCCCGAGAAATTCCAAATACGACATTAAGACTTAAAAGATAGAAATGACGAAACGACTATGCAAAAAATTGGACACGCATGCTAAGTGATCATCCCACTTTTTTTGAATTCGCCTCAATTACATGACAAAGTTCAGCTCAATTCAGGGTGGAAATTGTAACCGCAAAAGGTGGTCGAGAACCGACAAAAAAGGCGGCCGATATCATTCAAAGGGATTGTTTTGCAGGGAAAGTCTTTCATTTCATTAATGATCCTTGAGAGAAATAAAGCCGACGACAATTATTCCTCTTTTTTTCCCCTTCACTTCACACTTTTCAAAATATATTAGCTGATAAGAGCGCGGTTCAAATTTGAATTTTATTTAAATCATTACCGAGTTTGTTGGAGCTATCGTTTTGGCTTAGGAATTCTTGAGCACAAATATTAGCTTTTAAGTACTTTTAAGCAACAAATATAATAATGAACAAATCCTTTACCCTTTAAAATCTCGAGGTGATATTTTTAGTGGTGGTGTCAAAGTGATCAATGAAAAGAGAGAGGTGGACAATATGGAAACGGCACCAATTCGCGGTCAATGATTCAGTGATCGGAAAAGAAAGAGGAAAAGAAGAAAAAAAAAGAAAGAATAAAAGAGAAACAGATGCCGGTGATCATTCAAAGTATTGGATAGATGGTGCCAGCTTCGTCATCTTCCCTAGAAGGGTCAACACCCCAATGATACTGTTTCTTTCTCTCTCTCTCTCTCTCTTTTAGACTTGATCTTAAGCTTGATCTTGATCTTTTAGCTAGCTACGAGTTTCAAACTAACAAGTTGTAAGTTTCAATAAGAATCAAAGCCCTCTTTAACCAAATCATGATCATTATAGAGCCTGTAAAAGGAAAACTTAAATCCCGATGACAAAGGGGCTCAAATGAGGTGCCGAAGAGTAAGGAAATCTTTGCGGAAAGCCAAAATCTTTGCGGGAAAGGACATTCCCTACTCTTTTTTCTCTTTTATTCACTTTTCTTCAAAAACTTTTCCCGAAAACGGTTTACAAGCGCTCGTCCGCCCGCTGGGGTAATTACCCTTTTTCAGAGAAGAGATTTCCCCCGGATCTTCCTTTGAATCTACAGGGAAAACACATTGGATAATCTAGGTTTATCGACTCTTTGTTTTTAAAGACACTCAAAATTATTTGAACTCACTAGATATCTCAGCTAGACTAAGCTAGACTAAGCTAAACTAAGCTAAACTAAGCTAAACTAAGCTAGACTAAGCTATATGACTCTTGGTCTTCCAAGAGAAAGTCTGACAATCTCAATGATCCACAAAATTCTTTTAAAGTTAACAATTCAGATTCGACAAACCAGGCCAAAATGGGAACGGGTTGAAGTTCATTTGTGCGAGCATGTTCTTGCGACGATAGCTTCTAGGCATTTGGGGCAGAATAGAGAAGAGAGCTCAGCAAATATCAGTGTGCAATCAGAGTGTTACTGTACACGAGAGTTTGCGTTTGTTGTTGCGAATGGGATTGAGAAAAGAGGGGAGGAGGAGATCATAATCTAGAGGAGAGTTTGGGGAGGAGTCCCTCCCTCTCAATATCCTGTCCTTTTCAATGATCAAAACTGAATGATGATGAGAGAAGCCTGGTCACTCTTTTGCACAAACTGAACACAAGGTGACAGTTCTCGTGTAAATGAACACTTTGATGGGACTCAAGTTGAACACTTTGTCACAATGAATTTGATGTGATGGTGTGGAGAAAGGAGATGGGGGAAAACAACTGAAAGAAGTTGAGTTAACAACACTACAAGTTAACAATTTGGGTAGGGTTCAGTTTCTGGCTAAATCTCTAGAGTTTAGAGCGAAGATTTTTGAATTTTCGATTGTGAAAATTTGAGCTACTATAATAGGTAATGCTTTTCATTCATTAGAAAAAACTATTTGCTTTTTACTCTACCAAAAAAAACAGACCATAAATCCTCAAATTCTACCCCATAAACTAACTTTTTAAAAGCATTTAGCCAACTTTGTAATACTTATCTTTTACTCAAGTTAATCCTGTTTAAAATCTTCTCAAAAATCTCTCCTCATTTCTCAAAAATGTGTCGTGCGTAAACGAGTTTCTCCTCGCTTTCAAATCTCTAAAGAAAACTTTAAATTAATGGCTTGTAGATGAAATTTTTCCTAGCTAAAAAAGTTGCGATTCATTTTTTTTTTTTTTTTTTTGATCAAA